AGGATCATTGGCAAACGCCGGCGAAACTAATTTCAGCATGTAAAGGGATGAATTAAGGTCCATTCAGACCTACACGGCAGGAACCGTCACGTTCCGGCACCGACACGACAAATTAATACATATGTTCAGCTACTGAAAACAAGTGAACAATATTTTCTTTTGGTAAATATTTTTTTTTTAATGTACAGACAATTATTGTACAATATTTCGCAGGTACTTAGCTATTGGTGACTCGTTTAAAACAATAGCTACCAGTTATCGACTCGGACATTCGTTATCGACTTGGTTTGCGTATTAGGTCCTTTGGAAACATTTAATTTATTTTTTTCAAGAGCCTTGCCCAATTTAGAATTGGTAAATAGGCCTCCATCGTTATTCCTACCATATCCTCCTATGTCTACTGTAATGACTTTATAATGTGCATCCACTAATTCCTCGGCAATTTTTTTTTCATTTATCTAGTGTAGGATTTGGCATTGTAAATGGCATTAAATTATCTATTATCGCTTCATGTACTTGAACAACAATTGATTTCACCGTTGAATGTCCGAATCGATAACTGGTAATTATTGTTGTAAATGAATCACCAATAGTTAAGAACCTCCGAAATATTGCACAATGATCGTATGCATATTTAAAAAAAATATTGTAGGGCTTTTTTTCAATGGCTGTTTGTAAAGAAACATGGACGACTCTGCGAGATTCTTTTAGAAGAGTATTGAAAAAAAAACGAGAAACAAGAAGCGGACATCTTAACTTGTGCTCTAAGGCAATATTTTTTTTTTTAACGTGACATCGATCATTTTTGTTTGAAAATGGTCATTTGATTGTGGTAGCTTTAGTGATAAACGTGCGGTGATTTTAAGAAAGTATGGCAAAGTGAATTCCACGTGAAACTCCACTGTACGTTGAATTATCCTCTCTGACTGTTGCTTCAGCGTCGAAGTATTCGATTAACTGAAATTTTAGGATCTGGAGGACTTTGGAATTCGGAATATTGGATTTCCGATCCTTGGAGACTCGAAAGCGAAGCTTTTTCGACGTAGCTTTAGCGCGACTCGGTAAATTTCGAATATAATTGCACGCACCTTTAAGGATTCAGGCAAATAACCAGCAAGGAAGTCCAGGAGTTGAGACAACTCTTCCTCGGCGAGCAGACGAAAGTTCCGGCCTCGTTCCATCGCTTCGGGGTACTCCATGCTGAAACTAATTACCGACGGATCATTGTGTGAGTGGTACAAACTCTCGAACCCCCAGTCGGTCTCTGCCGCTCGTAAAACACGCGACTTGAGGAAAAGTGTTCTCTTTTTCAAAAATGTCCTCGTCGCGCCTCCGAAAATTCGATCGACGCGAGAACGCAGCGTAAAGGAGAGAATAGAAATTAATCGGATCGGAACCTCGAAAGAATGGACCTTGGTACGAAACGCAAGGAAATCGAGACGCGATTAGGAATCGTAGCGTAAGTCTGGCTCGCGTTTCCGTCGCCGGTCGCAGATCTGTATCAGTGTAACGTTCCTTCCTGATGGGCGATTGCGTAATTGCAGCCACTTTTGAACTTTAAAACGTTCCTCCCGTCGCTCGAAAACCGACAGGCAGTTTGCGCACCCCCAAGGTCTGACTTTGACTGATCGCGTGAAGTAGAGTAGGCCCGCACCCGGTCAGACTTGTATGCATCATCGTTCGCGTTAATCGCTTCGACCTTCAACGCTGAGAAACGTAAAGAACCGCTCGTTGGAACGCGATAAATGAATATTAATCCAAATATAAACTAGGAAACGAACCGTGTCATCGAGATGCAAAGGTCTGGATGTGGTTGTACGTTTGGCTGGAATTGTGCTGTACAGATAGATACGAGAACGATCCAGAAAGTAACGGAGGATGTTAAAAAAAAGTGCAACATTTTTACCCCGCCCGACACTTAAAATATTAACGAGGCGTTATTCTATAGATTCTACACTTTAAATTGTGCACAATGTCTAATAGCAAATGTGGTGGGAAAGTCCTGAAAAATGTGGTTCAAGCCGAAAGGCGACTTTTCTGACTTCAAATGACCATAACTTCGAAGCGAGGGCATGAAACGTAAAAACTCCGACGCTATTTTGTAAAGAAATAAGCGGTTGGACTCCCGACACTTTACGTGCATCGAAAGACGTCAAATCACTTGTTCGCGTACGAGAGCGGCTGTCTAGCACGTACCCTATGCTACTGTGGCTGTCTAGCGCGTACCCTATTCTACTTCGGGCGCTCTGATTTGTCTCTGATTGTTTTCTGTTAATATCTCCTTAAATAAGGGATAGAGAATAAAAGAATCTTGAATCTTGGAATCTTGGAATCTCAAGAATTCTGCACCTGAAAAAGGCAGGCTATCGGAAATTCGAAGATTCCGAGTGTTTCAAAAGTAATAGCTACAGAATTTGGAGACCTTAGGACTCGGAATCTAAGGATCCTTATGCCTCTGTTCCACATCCGAAACGTTTAAATTCAAGAGCCAAGGGTTGATTCCAATATCTTGGCAACAGGGAGCTCAGGAAATTGATCGATTCTGCAATTTAGAATCCGGGACAAGTAATGAAATAGAGAAACCCTCGTGATTCGTTAATACGATGACTGACACGGTGCCGGTATGCGCGACGTTTGTGGAACCAACAACGTCTAAGGTTTCTGATAGCTTTTATGCCCGGGTGAGGTCTGCCACGATTACAACATCATCATCGAACTTGAGGTATTAATTCATCCGTGCATCACATTTACTTGAAGAGAATCGTCAACAGCATTAGCGATGCCGATACGATCTACGATACATATTTCCCATCGCGCTATCGCGGTATTACTATGATTAATGCATTCGAATGCGATTCCTGGGACGATTGATCTAGTTGGGAACGATATTTCACGCGCAATCTACGTCCAACGGGACTTAGAAATCCAATTCTATACAAAATGGATTAACGAACCAAGTTGCTTCCCAGTTAATCAACCGTCGCAGCGTATCTAGATCGTTTGCCAACAATGTAATCCCCTGTTCAAGGGAGCTACCTTCGGAAGCTAGTAGTCGGGATTAGTCCGAATCTAGTTCAACTTAGCTACGTGGACCAGCGTTCGAGTAACTTCGAAATTGTTCCAAGTTTGGTCGTGTTACAGACTGGCACGATCGCAGCATCCCCGGCTGCGTGTCGAGGAGGAACCGTGTCGTTTATCGACGAGCAGCCAGCGAACTCGCGCCGACTACTGCGGAGAGTCACACCGGAGTCACAGTAACGTCATAACAGGAAGCACTACGTGGTCCAAGCAGGCGACGCGCAATAAACAAGACTCCCCCCGTACACGTACATCATCGCGGAAGATCGTTATACGGCTCGACGAGACACACAGAGACCCGTTTAATTCCCAGACACTACAATTACGCTACATCGATTTACCTGAGTGGCTCGCGTGTTCCTCGATCCAACAAGCGGAGAAACGGTCGTCGCGATTCACAGACGCTCGATTATCGAGGAGAACGAGAATTACGCGGCACGAGATCGGTCGAGGGTGCGAATGGCTGCGGGCTGTCGTCAAGGGGTAGTTCCAACGGAGGCACCCGCCCTCGCCGCCCCCTGAACCCGCACTGCCGCCCCTGGGCCACCGTTACCCTCCGTGCACCGTACACCGACGTGGCGTGCATCACGCAGGCGCTCCGCAACTCCAGTGCCGTTCCGTCACTTCCAAACACCCATGGCCGACGTGACCTTTCGCGGGGCCGGGTTCAAAAATTTTGCGAGGCCTGAACTCACATTCGAATCCTACACATGAATTGTACATGATGATCTCTGTCTCTCCGTTAAACTGAATCATTGCTACTAAACAAATGTCTTGCGTCTGTTACTGGTATCGTTATTCTGTACAAGTTTAATCAAGTTTAATCAAAACCGTTGCCTTTTCAAAACCTTTTAATTGGGTAATTTTCGTAGACCGCGGGATCTCTGAAGCTGCCTTACGCCGGCCCTGCGAACACCTTATCCTGCGAAGGGGGGAGGGGGGGGGGGGTTACGCCGAATTCTCTAAATATGCCGAGCGTGTTGCCTATAGTCGGATCAAAATCTACTGACCACTTTAGACGGTTATCCCCGTCGTCCGACCGTTTCGGGGGGTTTCCCCCCATCGCCTGGATTTCTTTACCGCCCTCTATCTCTCGTATCCGCACAGAGCTGCGGGCGAACACGCTCCGTCTCTCAGGCAGAAAGGAAAACTCGCAGACCCGACGATTGAACAGTCAATATGCTGTCGATTAATGCACGCTTGGCTCGATGTTCAAAACGCATTCGAGTTGCACGAAACGCTATTGCACACGCAGGGACCTCGGCCAGCACAGGATTAACTCGATCCTACGTTCAGGGCGGTCGATATTTTTGCAGAGATACCAGCCAAACGTGACCACATTTATCAACCTGTTCCTCTTTACTGCGCCTAACACGCAATTTACATGGGGAACAACGTATCGCCTCTTCCCATTGCCTCTTCGAACCTTAATTCACCCCGGACTCGCAACCCTTCCGCTGTCTGGTCGCATCGCTTTACCCTAAGTTAGAGATGCGACTCGCGCCGACGGAGGATAGCAAACTACACTCGTAATCGGTCTCAATGATCGCACGACCTCGTGGACCGGAACCACGAACCAGAAGTTAATCGAAAAAGGAGGCGCACTCTATTCAAGTACCTTTACGATCTTTCTTCTTCCTTCTGGAAGAATGTCTGGATGTCTGGATGTCTAGGCACGATTGAAACGAACAGTTTCACATCGCGATGCGAGATTGCATTCGAGCTCGATTCCATGGACTATCGTTGCAAGTAATAGGGGCCACGTTATCGATACCATTGCGCCCCCCAATGGCCCTTCGTCGTAGTACTGCACTGCGCCTAGCGTCGCGACGCAGAGCACAGCTTCCACCGCCGCCTCTTCATTTTCGCAGATCGATCCGACTACCGACAGGCACCCTGACCGATAGTTTCAAGTTTAAAGTTTGCCTATGCGGTGTGCGTGAGACACGGTCACGTATAATGCGTGGGAACGACGCGGCGAAGTCGTACGTGAAGTGAACCGTGGGTAAGAGTGCGCACAAGTGGACAAAGTAGACCAGAAAGGAAAGAAGAACGTTGGACGTAAACGAGGGTACCTTTTCCTTCTTTTTCGGTATCGCCCGACATCGATTGCCGTGTCCGCTATGGTCGTATCGTTGCCACCCACTATACCTCAAGAATCATTACGCGGTTCGGGAAACGTCTTATGCGAAAAGTCGCTAGTCCTCGGTACGAATCTCGAATTTACGCGTCAACTGTTTGCACGGAAGGAGTCTGATCTGTTATCGTAATCGCTAGCGTAGAGGGTGAATAAAGAAAAAGAAAAATTGTGAAAAAGGTGTGGTATATAGTAAAGATTGAATAAATGCAAGAAAATCGGGACCTAAACGTTGCATTTATCCAGTCGAAGTTTCTATTCTGGGTAGTCACGCGTGTCCCAAAGATTTATCAGGTATAGTGGGTAGAAGAGGTATAGCGAACTCTTGGAAGCGATAGAACGCGAAGACGGTAGTAGGTTCGGGTGTTGGGATTGCAAACCCCCAGGAATGAGTTCTGCACGCTTTTTAGACACTGTCGCATCGAGGTTCTAGATGTGCTAAGAGGGCAAGGCGTCGCGGGTTTAGCGGCCCTGTAATGAGCGACAAGGAACAGATTTTTCTATTCCCCTTATACCCACGATACACGATGTCGTGTGAGAAGGAAGATCGACCTGAAATTCACGCAAACGTTCTCGTCGAATACCGTGCGTGACCAAACTTTAATTCACGCAGAGCTCGAGCAAATAAGCTGTTGGATTAACAGGAACTTCCTGGGTTTTGCGTCGAATTCGAAAAATGATGGAAAAGTAACGACCCTCCTCCCTCCCCCTTTTATAACGGCACGGCTCGTCTTGTTCGCTTGAAAAATATGCTATGAGAGAGGTCCGTCGAAGTGTACTTAAGAGACGTATCTTTACGTCCGATATCGTGTAATTTTTTCTTTATTCATAGCGAAGCAGAAGAGGGGGAAAAATTGAATGACATTTAGAGCACAAGCATAAGTGTGTCGTCGTTGCTTGATATGTGGACAAGCTGGTTTGGCACAGGTATCCTTTATTTTGGTTTGCGTCGAGATTTTGTGTTTAGTCGGTAGTGAAAATTCAAACGTTTAAATTGTTCCGCGCTGTCTGGTTCATCGCGCATGCGTTTGTCGTTTACAACTTCGAGCGCGTCAATTATCAACAGATACATAACCTCCAATTTGTACATACGTCGGTTTCATCAGATTTCATTAGGAAAGGCAATGAATGTTAACACGTAGCCTCTTTCGAACGTCTTCTAAAGTTTAAATAAATGGTAAATTTCATTAAAAAATAAAACTATAATAATAGTTGTTACTTGTCATACATTATTCATTATATATATATGATTCATGATACGGAATATCACCTATTGATTGTTAGCTTTGGTGAATCTTGAAACTTCTTTCAAGGGAAAAATTATTGACTTAAACGATAAACCTTTAACGTAGAATAGATCAACATAGATAACGATTGGCATACGTAGTTTACCTGCGCAACATGTAGGTACATCTTACACACTCGTATGCGATTATATCATTAGAGTAAGCGTAATCGTTACAATTGTTTAGTTGATATTTTGTTCGTGAAAAATCTGAAAAATTTGGTATCGCGAAAATCCATTTCATGAAACGTTACATCATACGAACGTGAACGTGAAAAATGTAAATTACTGTATCACGAAAGGGTTTAACATTAATAACCGTCAATTTTGTAGATTATATTCACAAAGTGAGTATGTCCAGGAGGAAACTCGGTGGCGACAGACAATTCGACAACGTGGATTACACACAGCTTACTGAAACTGACAATGGCTTTGTCGATTCTCAGGTAAATTATCGCGTATCTATTTAAGTAGCTGAATGTTTGAAAAGGAAATGACATTAATGATAATTAAAAACTTTTAACAGTTTGCGAATCCACCGGTAAAAATACCATGGAAAGCCATTACATTGGCAGCTCTTCTGTTTGTCGGAGGTACCATTATGCTAATTGTGGGTAGCCTAATCGTGAGTGGACACATAGATTCAAAAGTGAGATTAGAAATTTTTACCTAACTTGTAGTAATAATTACATATCGGTTGGGACTGTTAATTGTTTATTCTTTTACAGTACTCTGACCGTATGTGGCCAGTCATTATTTTAGGAATTTTAATGTTCATACCAGGAGCTTATCATATGAGGGTTGCTATTTTAGCATACCAAAAAGTGCCAGGGTATTCGTTTGATGATATACCAGAGTTCGATTAACCGTGCATGTCTTTTTTACAAAAAATAGCTAGAAATTCTATCTTTTTACTAGTATTGTAACTTATACCACATTGTTTCATGCAGACTGTGAGTATTATTAACACCAAATAGTCTGTCTCTGTGTTTCTGTGGTCGGCATACAAATTTCTCAAAAATTCATAGAATGACAATCTTTGAAATATGTTCAGTTTTCATAAATTACTTACCTCGAAGGAGTTTTGTATATTGTTTCTATACATAATATTTCATAAGAAGTTATTTTACATTGAAAGTACGAGTACCTAGAGTTTTATTAAAAAATTCATTTTGCGTGAAATGAATTCTTCGTTTGATACTGAATTCATAAGAGTAGAATGCAATTGCACATCCATGTGAAGCATTATGCAAAGTATCTAGATCTGTTTTTTGAATATGATTCCAATGAACAATACTGCATTCTTAGAAATAATACGGCATACAAATTGTTTTTTATACATTTTATTTAAAGTATATGAAATTTAATAAACTATTTTACAGTATATAAATGTATAAAAATAATCTGATTATTGTACCTGTAATGCATATGAGTAGTAGCCTATAGAAATATTGGCAATATGATGAAGATGGTACAAGAATTATTTATTTTCAAAGATGAGCATATTTGAAAACAATTATAATTGTCATCTCGTAATTTAATTACATTTCGAAAATGTATATTCATGGTATTGTTCATGATTGTCTAGTCTAATCTATGCAGTATATTTTATTGCACTGCAAAATATTCAACTCAAAAATACTAAATATATTATATAATTTATAACAAATTATGTATAAAATACAGAATTACGTTCGTTATAAAAATTAAAATCGATATTGCAAGATTTACAAAATGTTTTGTCAATAATCAAATTTGGTAAAATTCCATACCAAGAAAATAAAAATTAATGTTTCATAAAGAAAAATATATAAAGCGTTAAGGCGAAGTGATACGTTAAGAGTTCCCGAACTTTAGATATTAGGCGATTATCTTTACTGCATTGTTGTCAATTTAAGTTGAATAAAATTTGGTTAAAAACTGATAAATGAAATTGCAGAGTTGGATTACGCGCAATACTCACGTTGTTGTAAATGCCTAAAAAGTTTCGTACTACTCAACTTCTGGAATTTACCTTTCTTTGTCATTATCATTGAAATAGGTGGATCAAATTTTTGTAGTACACTTTTCATAATTTGTTTACTTTCATTAATATCATAATCACATTGTTGTCGTATTTCTTCATCAAAAACATGTTGCTTTTTCAAAGGAGTGTGCTGTAAAAGAAGTAGAAGTTAATTTGTCAAAATTCGCAATTGTTTTCCATGATTAATCATTTGATGGAAATCAAATTATAAAATGAGCGTAACATGCCTCAAAAATAAGATATACTGAAAGTTGATTTGGCTTAATATGATCGATCGCATGTCCAATATTTAATGAAAGTTGTTTCATTAAGTTGAAAATCGTGAGATACATTTCTTCACTCGTCCAATTAGATTTTATGATAAGATATGTCAGTGGATAAAACTAGTAGCAGAAAATAATAAATATTAACATATATATTACACACTATTATCATACTTGGTTAATGGCTTACCTTTAGTTTAGGATATATTCCTAAATCGACCGCAGTTTGATAGAACTGCTTAGCCAGAGTTAAATCAATGTGCACCAATGTAGCAATTACTGCACGATATGTTATTTCAGGGAGTACTAAATTATAGTCATAAATTAACTTTACAATATTTATAATCATCTTATAATCACGTTCTCGTAAAAATGTCGATATTAATTTATTCGCGGCACAGGTAAGATCTAAAAGAAATAAAATGTTTGTGCACTTGAATTTGCTATTGTACCGGTTCTAGAAAATTCATTTTCTTACCTATTGGAAAATAATTACTACTTTGATCTGACATTAAAAATTCAAAAAGAAAAAATGCATATTTGGAGGATGTGTTGGAAAATGTGTTTAATAGAAGAGCCATTATCTGTGCTCTTGCGTAATCATCCTTCTCATTACTTCTTACCTTCCACTTATTACGACAAGTAAAAATAATGTTACTTTCTGGAAAAAATTAATTATTTGTAAAGTACGATTTGATCTTATCAATATGCTAAATATTACTGCTGAAGTTACATCAAAATTACTACAATATATATCAACTATAATGAAGTGCTAACTCACCCTTAAGCAGGGTGAAAACCTTCAGAGGTTGTCTATTTGCTAGATAAATTTCGGCGAAAAGTAAAATTGTTGTTGCGTCAAGCTCATTTAAACGAATATGCATTTGTAACATAATATGAATATCTTTGAGTAGCCTGAGCGCTAACACCCAAAATTCTTTTTCAGCTAAATCAGCCAAAATAAGTGTTGTAACGTCAAATAATATTTCGTAACAAATAGCTGTTGCCCCGATTCGGACTGTAATATCCACAAAGATGATGTTAGGTATAACTTCAAATGAACATTGACATTCGTTTCAAATATTTTTATTTTATTTAGTTAAATTTGAATACACAAATAATAACTAAATTGCACTTATATAATTTGTTGCATTATCAATATACGATTATTTTATATACAACTAAACTTTTATTATTAAAACTGTCCATTTTGTTTACATACAAAATTAATACTTTGTAATTACAAAACTTACGTAAAATAAGATACAAAATGAAATAGTTTTTATACATTTTATACATATAACCTAACAAAATAATTGCCTTCAAAACATATTACGAGAGTTGTAGCATATTGTATACAATTTGCACTAACAAATTGAATAAGTCGTTTCAATGAAAACTTATAAAAATTAAACTAATTCTATTTTACTGTGTTTCGAAAACGCTTTATAAAATATTGAGCACGAATATTAAAACATTCGTAAAACAAATTTAATAAAAGAAAATGTGTAATAAAGTAAAGGGTCTAATTATTATGAAGTTTTAATGAATGTTGCATTACCTGTATTTGAATTGAGTTTACTCAAACGGTATTGAGAGTAATGTATTTCATTCTTCAGAATTCTATAACATGCGCGAGTGTAAAATGTCTTCTCCTTTTGTTTAATTTTGTTAAGAATTTTCATAACATGTTTATAATTATTGTGCTTAAGCCCTTCCTGAAGGCTATAGACATCTATGTAAAATTTCCAATTTTTATTTCTACCATGTAATGAATATGGTTTTGGCAAGTTGTCTGAAAATTAAATACCACAATTGAAACAATAACATGCAAATATGTAAATAAAAATACATTTATTATTCATAAATTCTTACCAATTGGGTGTAACACGAAAGAGGATTTTTCATTTTGTACACTGTTATTATTATTGTCCCATACTTTTTGAGTAATCATGGTAGAAGTATCGTTTATAAGCGATGCATCATCGAATTCATTAGACGATTCAGGTGACTGAATATTTATAACTGACTGATTTATTGCAGTGTTTTTCACCTCTTTTATCTCTCGAATATCTTTTGGATCCTTGAGTTCACTCAATTTATTATTAAAACGTACTAGAAAGTCTTTATTAATTTTAGGATCAATGTCTTTATCCAGTTTACTTATAATATTTTCATGTACATCTTGAATGTGTCTTCCTGTAGTTATGCATTCATATAAAATACTGTTTATAATTTTTGAATTTATATTTTCTGTCTTCAGTAGCAGAGGTTTTACTATATTCCAATATCCATCAGTATCTGTATCGGATTTGATATGTGCTTCTATTCTTTCCAAAATCCAATTTATGAATTGAGAATCACGATTGCTTACAATTGTTGTTAAGTGATCTATAATTGTTGTTATAGGAACTTTAGTCAGCAAGATTGGAATAGTACGGGATCCCATCATATAGTTTAACATATTGCGTTCATATAAGTTTTTACATACTTTCAGTATGAAAATTACATCTTTAGAGTGATTTACCAACTTTTCGTAAATATTAAATAAAAATGTATGATATCCTTTTGATATCAATTCATTTATCATTTGAAAAAAATAATATTCCCCTCTCTCGTATAAGGTAAGTACACGTGAAAAATGCTGTAAAATAAACAAAACTATATGTTATCACGTAATAATTACGCTCTAAAATAAAACTTAATACTTCGATTTATAATAATTGTAAAAATTTTTGTTTGTATATACGTACATTATGATTAAAGGGGCACCATTGTCTAGAGCAGTTGCCAAATAGAATGACTTGATAACAGAAGCCTATAAAAATATTTTTAAATAAATCATGTTGCCTATCCGTTGTTAATTTTGTGGTCAGTTTTTTCGGTTTCGCTACTGGAGAACATTTATTTTTGTTCAAAGTATTTTGACTATATTTCATATTATTGTCGTCATATAAAGTATTAAATTCGTCTATAGTTTTTTCATAAAACTTATCAATTACACTTTTAGTCATGGAATACGATTCTTTAATATGTGAAGATTTACAGGATGAGTCATTTTTCCGAGATGTAACCGAAGGATTGAGTCTGTAAAAATGTATAAAAAATATTACGATTTTTTGACTATTATAGTCAACTAAATGGCACCAAATCTTTCACTAGCCTAAAGAAATTAAATAATTACTCTTTTGTAGATGGCAAATGCGGAAACAAAGATTTATTTTGTATAACATTTTGTAATGACTCTAAATTTTGTTTGTTGTTCTCTAAGGTTTTTTCACTGGTTTCTTTCCAAAATATTTTTGGAAATTTTTTTTTATTTGTTGTCTTTTGATTATCAGCTACATTGCTCATGATACGTTTTTTTTCAGTGTGTGTAGAATTACACAATGAATTCTGTTTTAGATTTGTAAATGAAGTATTGCATCTAGACAAATTTAAAGAATATATTATAGTTTGTTGAATATTATAGTTAACCGAATAGTTAAACATCTTTCATTAATACAAAGAAATCAAATAGTTACTCGTCTATAAGGGTCGGATCTGCAAACAAAGAAATACAGTCATCGTCTTCATCCTCATCACTCTTTGTACAGTTACTCAAATTTAATTTATCTAAACATGAATACTTTGTTTGTATAGGTGACTTGAATGTTTCTGTTGTTTTTTCTGAGTTCCTTGTTTTCTGCAGCAAATCACATTCTTGATTATTAACTTTCCCAAAAGTTTCAACTTTTTTCTGTTCTACTGAAATATCTTTTTCATTCTGTAATATCTTCTTTGTAACATTTTCATTATTTTCATTTGGAGCAAGATTTTTTAATTTGTTAACTGTTGGAATTATCAATTGAGATAACATTCCATTAGCATTTGTTTCTGCAACATTGCTGGCATTGTTATGAATCTCAGCTGAGCCACTGCTTTTCAATGCAATACTGGATCGTTTTGACAAGTTATTTCTGTCTAACTTCTCTTTTTTTGTATTTTTTTGATGATATTGCTTTCCCTTGTATGCTATTTTATTTATTTTGTTAATCTTGATCTTTTTTGGCTCATTCATCTTTGGACAGTTGTTAATATTATCCAGAGCACTGATTATATTATTCATAGTTATTGCATTAATACTTTTTGATGACTTTGCAGTAATACTATTGGGTGGTAAAGTTTGTGCATAGTTTTCTGATATATTACAATACATGTTACTTTTGTTTTCAACAACACAACCAACGTTCTTAACAGGATCTTTTGTTTCAATTTGACAGTTATTATTTTCTTTTAATAAATTATTGTTTGTAACATTTGACATTTTATTTTCATTAATATCAGTTTCCACATGTTCCACTGTATCAGTGTTGAAGTTATTTTCAGGAGCATTCTGTAATAAGTTAAAATTTTTAATGTCTATTTCATTTTTTATAATATTACCACCATACAGAATATTGTACTTTCAATAATACAGTCTTTACTTTGCATTAGATAAATTAGTTTTATTAGTGATAATTAGTAATCTTCTTGTCTTACTATCATTCGAAATCCCATTTAACAAAATCCAGTGATTATATGCTTGGTTTTCTAATACAGAGTCTTATTGGTTACCTACCTTGTGAAATGAATCTTCTTTTACTTCCACTATTTTGTCTGAGGTACCTTGTGAAATACTTTTGTCTATACATTTGTCATTCGTGTCACTTATCAACTTCTGCTTTTTGCTGAAATTGTCTTGATTGCCTTTCACTTTTCTTTTTGAAGCATTTGATCGTAATTTATATTTATTAACAATATCTACACTGTTTGATTTATGATTATACTCAGACACAGAACTTTTTCTTTTGGACAAGGTATAATTATGTACACCTTTCCTTAGATTATTATTGGGTTTAGATGTTACCAAGTCATTATTTAATTTTTCCTTACTATGATTACTTTCAATTGCTATAGCTTCTTCGATTACTCTTTTTGGTAATCTTCTTAATAGAACCTTTGCATTATATAATAATGGATCATATTTCTTCAACTGTCTAACTGGTAATGAATCTTTTGCAAAATTATTTATATCCATTTTACATATCGATTTTCTTTCATTAGATCTGCAATTCCATTTAGCTTTTTCAGAAGTTTTCTGCAAGCAAATAATGAGTTCCCTTTTACCCAAAATATCTTTATATTTTTCTCTTAATGGATTTTCAATATTGAAGTTATTTTTCTTTATTTCTGAAGATGTTTGTCCTACATATATATAATGTTTCTCATTGGAATGGTAACTCTTTTTTGGCTGTCTCATTTTTCTCAGAATGTTACAGATTAGATAATATTAGGGTGAAATCATGTCATCCTTTTGTTAAATTATGTTTACACTATGACGATCATAGTCATAGAAACACATTGAAATTTAATTATAAATAATCATAAATAGTATATGATAGTCTAAAATGTAATAAAACACTGTAACAGAATTTCTATCATTTCCTATACACTATTGTCTTCATAGAAAACTATGTACGAAAAACACATTTAATATATCGATACAAATCTATAAATTGTCGTTGCCATTACAGAACATAAATCGATCAAAATCATACATTATTCAGTATTGTTTATTTCGTTCTTTTCGATATTACTGAACAACAAGGAACAGCAACTCTTTGCAAGTAACAATATCTATCCAATTAATCTTAAACAATTTTCATATAACTAATATGTTTTTTCACTAATTAAACAATTTTCATATAACTAATATGTTTTTTGACTAATTAAACAATTTTCAATCGTTTGAACACTCTCGTATGGAGTAGCACGTGTCTAAAGAAGGAATTGATGTACCTATACGTAAAAGGTATTCATTTTTATTCGCAGAAACTTTGGATATATTTGTTAATTAAAACGTAAAATAAAACACTCAATACTGTATAAAATTCGATTTCCGTCGAAGAGATCACACTTTAATGCTAGCCGCGAAAATATTCAAGTATTCCGACTAGAACGAGAATCGCAAGTGCTGCATCGATGTATCGATATTAGCCACATCGATAACTTTAATGTTTTCTTAACAATTACCAAACTTAGTCCCTATCTAAATGTCTTTCACCAGAGACGGCTATATTAAAACAATGTATGAAAACAAAAACAAAATTAATCGGTACCGATTTAAACTCCTATTGTCATTTAACGGTGGAGAACTTGAAACTTTTGTACAGTGTCACCAACCAGTACAGAACGATTTCCCCTGACATAAGTTAAAAGACCTCTAAATTTTATTTAAAACTCTCTGAAATATTTTATTTAAAATTTAATTGAAAATAAATAAGTGTCGGTATGTGTAAAAATATAATATATAAAAAAATTGATTACTTAAAAAAAGAATTGCAACTTGGGGATTTAAATCCTGGTCACCGCTATTGAAGAACCCCTAAAAAAATTCTTCTAAAAAATTTGTTCCCGCCCCAAGCAGTGCCAAGCACCCCTAAAAAAATTTGACCATCTAAAAAAATCCCAGCTCATACATTCTTCCCCTAAATCTAGGAGCAAATCCCCAAAGTTGACAACCATGTCTTTATAAACTTGACCATTTCGTCGTAGATGGCGACACTATCCCTCTTCGAGCAGTGCTTTCTAGTGCTATCGCCTTTTGATTGTACCATTGATAGACACATTTCCCTTAATTCTCTGTGACATTTCCCTTCAATTATTTGTGAAATTTATTCCCCATGTATAATTGTAATATTTAAGGGTGCGCAAGAGACAAACTGGCGCCACCAACGGAAAGTAGGTGAACTACTAGATAGTTTTTCTCGTTTTTCAGGCACAATAATGAAAAAAACATATCATAATTATGCATTTCGTAATCAGGGGAAGTAAATCTATCGTCTCGTCAAGCGTTTTTCGAAAAAAATTGGAAAAAAAAAATTTCTTGTCTTTGAACGTATTTTTAGCAAGTTTCAAAAGCGAAATTGCAAAATGTGTAACTGTTCCCCGCAACGATATTTTGTAAGGAACAGTTTAAAAAAAAAATCAGCCGGAAAGGTCGCTTCCTCGACTCATAAAATTACAATGGTGTTGTCGTTATGAAATCGAGAAGACTGATGCGCTTGCACAATGGCTTGAGTTTCACGCTCTCCACCACAGCACACCATAGCGCTGGTGTCGTCTCTCCTGCTGCTGGTGTACCGATAATCTAAAAATGCCTTTCAGCATGGTTCAGTACCGTACTAAAAGTATGAAGCGCTCGAGCTTATATATTTTACTTTTGCATATGTATATATATTCAATATTATATTGTTAAGAAACGTCATGTATATGTTAAGGTTGTTATATTGCATTGCAATTAATTGATACAGAAAAGTAGTAAATAATAAACAACTGATATGATATTTGTAATATGGTACGAACATAATAAAGTACTAATTGTTATTTGTGGAATGTAATGATAGTATGCAATGTAAAAAATATTGTATAATAAAAAAGGTAAAACGTTTATGAACATTATTTTTGAATATACGTAATTACATAAGAGAAACCACACTAACAAAGGGAAGGCACGGATGTTGCAATCGCTTTTGCAACGACACCCTATGGGGGTCGTAGTACGCATGTAGTACTGCAAAACCATTTTGGTTTTTTTCAGAATGGGTGTTTGTTTTCGATGTACAATAAAATCATCTAGCAAGGTTCGTTGTATGGATTGGTAGAGTATTAAGTTGTAACGCTGCTTGACCCCGGGTACGAATCCCGATTGATGTATTTTTTTTTTATTTCAATTTTCTATCAGAAATATACTTTTTGGATATCATGTACTACATACTGCATATTATATATTACCTTATGCATATTTTAAGGTTAAAATTAATTTTTTAACGTAACATATCATGCCAGAATACCTACTTGCTGTAGGTGAGTAAGTCTTCACAACGATTTTTATGTTTAGTCGTAAGTTTATTTCGTTTTATCGTGACAGTCACATGAAGGAAGGTTTGAAAGTTTGAAAATGGATAGTGATTCTTTGCGTGCAAGTTGTTTTGAAGAAATAGTCATCGATAGCAGAGAATCCAAGCGTAAAGAGGACAGAATGTGTGTAATGTTTTCTCTTTCTCTGGCGTGAGTACTCTCCTAAATATTACCGTTAGTTGTACATGTATACGTTCCATTCGTCGATTTTACTAGTGTTAAAATGAGAAAGCATGTTATCTTCTATCATTCTCCAAAGTATAACACCCGTGCTCGAGCGATCACTTTATAGTTTGCCGCTACACCGAACCCCCTGTTTTGTCAACGGGTTCCTCCTCGTCACGCTCGAGAACGGTCAAGCCGAACATACCATAACTGTTTCGAAATAAGCAACTCGCCGGTCCCGATCGAGTTACTTATTTCGAGACATTGCTGTACTTGTTTCTATTTGTATAATGAATTTCAATATATTTATCTCTATTCTACATAGATATGTTTGATACGCATCATGGCTATCAAAAAATCGAGTACATTTCATTAACGTAAATCAAGCGGTATTCCCAGTAGAATTAAATAAACAATTTTGCAGTTGTGAATCTAAAGCATTCATTCGATGTACATGGTGATTAAACATTTTGTTTCCACTGCTTTTTCGAAAATTATCACACAAGTTCATGTACATCATAATGGAAATTGTTTGTTTTAAAAAATATATCCGAACATTAGTTATAAATAAGTCATATTTAACGAATGTATTTTTAAAAGAAAGTGAAAAAAAAGAATAGTGTAAGAATGTTTCAACGGGATTCGAACTCGCAAACAGAGGAATTATTATGCTGATGCTTTACTGACCACACCAAATTCGCTTATAATTCACCAAGTAAGCAGCAATAATAACTTCAATGTTGAATATCTCGTAAACTATAAATCGTCTGCCCCCAAACCTGAATATCAATCGCTTCAGTTTTCCCCTGTGCAAAGGCTCATCAAAAAATTAGCGTCATACCTGGGCCCGTTCCCTTGTCAGTCTCTCTTTCTTCTTCATCAAACTGTCTCTTTCTACTTCGTCGTCGCTTACGAACAATACCATGTATATAGGTATAATAACCAGCCGAGGTGTCGATTCTAAGTTTACATGCGGGAGAGTGAGAGTGAGAGTGAGGTGAGTGAGTGAGTGAGTGAGTGAGTGAGTGAGTGAGGTGAGTGAGTGAGGTGAGTGAGTGAGTGAGTGAGTGAGTGAGTGAGGTGAGTGAGTGAGTGAGTGAGTGAGTGAGTGAGAGTGAGAGTGAGGTGAGTGAGTGAGTGAGTGAGTGAGTGAGGTGAGTAAGTGAGAGTGAGAGTGAGAGTGAGAGTGAGACATATTCGCGTTATCTACAGTGCTTCATTAATTGGGGATCGTTGAGGGGTCTGATCAATTTAGAAACTGGGTGATGTTTGAGCTTTTTTTTTAGAGAACGTCATTTAGCTATGTTTTGCCAAGCTGTAGGAATTTTTTCAAGTATTAATAGCGAGATTAATTTTGCTCAGAAGGGTTTATTGATTTCTAAAATATATTGCTAGGTAAATTAAGAAATGTTTAGGGAAGAGCGATTGCAAAAATTTGCTACTGCATTAATTTCACTTTACTAGTAAATTTTTCCAAAACAAATTAACTGTGACTCGTGACTGTGAATTCTAATTGCACTACTCATCGGGTTTGTCTAGTCTCTTCTTTCGTCACATTCTGTCATAGTGAAAATATAAAAAGAAGATTATTCTTTCATTCCTATCTTTTAGGTTCGTAGAATGGTCTCGTAAACAAATGGTAGTAACGAAAAGTGGAACATTCTCGTGTAAGATAGAAAAATTCCTGATAAATTAGTACAAACACTCGTACGCGAATGTGTACATACGTGTGCACGTACGTATGCGTATGTGTGCACTGATAACTGTAGCGATAGGGTATTGACCCGTTTTTATTAATTTACGCAACTTAACAAGAGCAACGCGTAAATTGTGTGTATGCAATGCATATGCGTTTCTTCAGATAAGTGAGGATTTATTGACCTACGGTTCATCAATTGCGCCGCATTTCAATCGTTTTCACAACAAATAATTTGTTACGCAAGTGCCTAAATCTGATATCTCAAAATGTTTTTCAACCTTTTATTCTGCACTCCCAACGAATTTAGCTCGTTATCGTTAAAATCACTATCTAAAGTAGAAATGTCTTTTGTTTAAAATTATACAATGGTTTATTAAGATTGCTGAATACGTGTAGGTTTCGGAAGGGAAGGTTATTAATAAAACATACACACGTTACTTGCATAATCACTGCTTTATGACGTGAAGTTTGTGTACAATATGGTACATTAATAAATTTGCTTACATTTTCATCGCAATGACATGTAATGGTGAAACAATGGTATTATTTGTTCAATTTGTCTATAGACGTTCGTGGAATACCGTAACGATATTTCGCACTTAGGCAGTATTGGCGGTGATTTTGTTTAAAAAAGAAACAACAACAATTAATAAAGTTACAATATAAACAATACTGCTCGTTAAATTGAAAATCATCGCGTGGAAACAGAGTCATATAATGATGTGATTTTTATATAGAGAAAAAAAGATAGTTTTCAATTCTGGAAGACAATTTTCGGTCGTACAGTAAGAGATTTATTTTTGTATATTTTTTCGTTTCCCTTCTGATGATTATGCATATAAAACATATACAAAAATAAGTACAAAATTCAAGTACTAATGTGTGATATCGATTCTCTATATGAATGAAACACGAAATTATCAGATCGAGATTTTTCTAAAGTCACATCGCGTTGTAAAATGAGTATAAATGAAAATTCGACACTAGCGTATATGTTAGAGTAAACTGGAAAACAGTTTGTTGTTAATTGGTCGTGTAACAATGAGTATCTGACTTTTATTATAATTATGTTTACAGCGTCATGATATTAATTATTAAACAGATACGTATAAAATCGAATACCGGATTCGAAATAAAAGCTATGGTAATATGTCAAATAAAAAAATATATCAAATCTGGAAATTATTTCGTAATGATTTTCGTAAAAATCTTGTTCATTCGAGTCGAGGATCCGGGTTTGTTCTATGAATTGCAACTATCGATAAAGCCTCTACGTGAACAATGTAAAATATTTGTAACAATGATTGATATTTTTTCATATCTAAATTCTTTCTTCTATTATTTATCGCCCGACTAAAAAATCATGCATTAACCTATGTATTTTTTTCGGAAATACGTTTTGTTTAACGCAAATGTATGTAGTACTAAAATAGACGTAAATGAAACGGAACTTATACGTTGTACAGGTCATGAAAAGAAAACTAAATGATAATTTAAATGCAACGCAAAATAGTTCAAATTTGTTATAAAAGAATATAGATATAAAAAATTCTAATACGTTTTCTTAAATTATGCCTTTGCATTATTAATTCTACACAATTCATGGAAATAAAGTATTTGTTCAAGTATAACGTCAAATAGTAATCAGATCTATAAGTTTTATGTACAAACGGTTAATTTTTGGCAACAAATTCATTAACTTGACCTATATTAATCAGTAACTATACGGAATCTTTAGTCTATTTTGGTAATTCAATAGATGCAATATACAGCTACTTATAAATATAACCTCTAGACGAACTACATAATTATATGTATCAATAATGTCATAGTTCAATTCATTTGTTACTAATATATATCAAATTAGTATAACTGAAAAAACGCAAACAATTATTTTAGTGCCAGTTGTATATACATTACTGGTAGTATTAGGTATATAAAAACAGATACACGTATAAAATTTTTGTTGCAAAGATTTTGCTAGGTCATATCGTATCGAGAACATGTCGGCTAATGATAGAACTTTTCATACTACAGAGTTAAAACTATTTTGTCGCGTTTCTCATATCACATAAATGATATACAAATATCTACTAATAATAATTTACAGTTTTTCGAATGTTTGCAGATATTTTCAAATTCTACTCGCGTTATGTTTTTGCAAGTTGTAAATTCTGCAAGTTGTAGAATGTTGTTGTTTTTTTAAACTTATACGAGTACGCGTTACACATATTGGAAGAAGCATTTGTTTTAGACAAGAAGTTACTTTCATTTTTTCCTGTAAATTTAAGAGGAAAACGAGGAAGAAGGCACGCAAAAACACTTCGTGTTTTAACATTCTATCACTGGATAGCATAATTTCACGCGTAAGCAACATATAACGTTTACTTATACTTCCTTTTGGCAAACAATATAAAAGTCTCTTGGCTATTTAAAATACAAGTACAAAAAGGTACTGGCAAAATTTAAATAATTTCTGTTGTACAGAGATTCAAGTATAAAGAGAGACATAACCTTTTCTTAATATTTCTCCATTTTCTTTCAATTACACGAACGGACTTTCAAGCCCGTTTTGTATACTTACCTTGCTATTCGTAATCATCTTTATTACTCTGCAAGGAATTGAAAGACGACGTTTTCGATGTATTCTTCTCTTTCTTTTCTTTACGTTGTAGCATGCTCTTCACATTTTGCAAATAAGATTTGCACATCCTTAAAACTCATTCGGGGGGTTGCGACGTACTACTACTTTCATTTCGTCGTTGCAGTCGTTCCGGGTGAGAGCAAGCTAATTGGCTAAAATCTCGAACAACGTCGTTAAAGGTTTCGTCGCCACTAATTCCGATTTCCGAGTCTTTCATTTCTTCGTTTAAAAGGCCAAGTCGTAATCTAGGATGAAGATTAATGGCAGATCAATTTAATGGAGCAAAAATTGATAATAACAAAGCGAAGGTATATTTTATTCTTACAAAGTAACAATATCCGCGTTAGCTTCTTTTACAGCTATCGACAAAGGTTTTACACCACTTTCGTCTTTAATATGCTGATCAGCGCGATGCTTCAAAAGCAAGCACACTTGGGCGGTATGGCCTAAAAGTTAAATTGAAAGAATCGGTTTCTAAAAAACTTTCAAAGAAACGGATATCCTTATGGAAATAATGTGTACCTAATTCTGTAGCCAAATACAATGGTGTTTTCCCACCAGCATCCTGACAATTGATGCGTGCTCCATTTAGAATGAGATATTCGCAAGACATAACAGAACCCTTCGGTAGAATAAAAACAAATGAACACTAAAGAAATGAAACAATAACAAGCTAGCATTATTTTACTTACACTTATAATCGCTTGGTGTAAAGCATTACGACCTCTGTCATTGATATTTGACCATGATTTATCAGCACCAGCCGCTAAAGCTGCACACATTACGGGAAGATTGTGAGCAGCGGCAGCTTTATAAAGTAACATTTCAGGATGTAAATTTTCGATATCCTCCTCATCTGTAAATTCTTCATCTTCACCGGCAGTTGAGTCTTGATCCGAACTTAATTCTAAACTGTTATCGATTGTTGGCTTTGGTAAATCACAACCAAACATTAGTACGTCCGATTCTACCTTTTCTGTACACTGCTTCTCCGTTCCGATATCTTTATCTTCTAAGACATCGTTAACACCAGAAATCTCTGCGCTTAAGGACACTTCACTTTTCAGTGCTAAATTATTCTCCGAGGCATTCGAGGAAATTGTATTGTCTTTCGCTTCAGGAATATCAAGTTTACGTTCGTTTTCAACGCTTGACTCTCTATTGCTATTAACGATTTTAGAATTACTTTCTTGTAAATCGTTACAGTTACGTGATCGTGTTAGTATCTTCCCATACAGGGTAGAATCGTTTTTTAGATCTAGATTCGTACTATCATCAGAACTTAAGGAACTTCTTTCAGCTTTCTTTGCTTTCTCAACGAAACTTAAACTTTCGATCGATGTATGTTTACTGTCGTCGGAACTCGTAGAATGAGGACCTTCTGTCACGGAAGATAGCGTTGCCGTTTTATTACGATTAATGCTATCAATTTTGTCGCAACTTCGTGGTCTACGACGTAATTTACGGACACTCCATTTTCGGAAATGCATTTTGTCACGACTCGCATGTTGTCCGGATGAAATTATGTTACTTAAGGGTTTTACGAATTTATGGTCTACGTATTTTGCTCTAATCCACGCTTCGCGTATGTTACTGCCAAATAAATAAAGTTCAACTAAATATTTTATCGCATACTTTTACGTAATTACTTTCATACCGGAGAATAATCACCATTTAATTTTTATACTTTTTGCTACATACCCGTTGCACTTTGGCGTAGCCCTAACGATATCAGAAGGTATTGGCAATGCTTCGTAAACATTATTCACTACTGTATTTCCAAGCTCTGCCATTACTTTTAATATTTCTGGTTCCCAATCATCCAATGTGAGGGAACGAACTTTGCTGTAGTGAACACCTAAACTTCTGTGTACTCCAGAACATTCTAAATGGAAAAGATTTTTAAGAAATTTGTAAACATTTTTAGCTCACGAATTTGTAAAAAGATGAGCTACCTATGCAAAGTGTAATTCCTAAATTGATACTGGCCCACCTTGGGTTAGCACCACCGCAATCACAGCAAATATCATTTCCAGAAATCTTTAGAATTTGCTCCCAAACTCTATAATTAAAACAAATAAATATATTTCATTACATTGGAACATGATTACATCACGTTCCAATACAAGAAAAATACTTTTTTCTCACCTTGATTTAGGTTTTGATTGTTGTCTGCCTGAGCCCCTAATATTCTGTGATTGTGATTCTCGTATACTAACAATAGTACCAGCACCCATACCTCTTTGAATAGCAGCACTAATTGCTTGCTGCATGGCAGTTACCCATGCTAAATACGATTCTTCGCTATCAGCTTGTAATATGTGGCTTCTATAAATAATGTAATACATGTACTCCAAATGTATACCACTATCGTGAATTTTGTATTGATATATAAGTATAATTACATACTTTGTAGGACTTAATACTTCAAAACAATTCCTCCTATCACAGTCAACCAGTGGTTTAACAGTACAAAGGCGAAGATCTTCTTCCATAATTGTAAAATCATTATCACCAGTTCTTTTTCTATAGACCAATTGATGGTCTCTTAAACAAAACCATCTTCTATTCCATGTTTTAAATGCATTACTAGTTCGTTTAAAAAGATATCCTTCCATCTTAGGATTACCGGATATTAGGGAAGGTATTAAATCTCTGTTTGTAACATAAATGTGTCGATTTTCCATTTCTTTTTCAAGTTTAATAGAATCGGCTCTCATTTTAATTATATTTTCACCAAGATCTTTTAAAAATGGATCTAAATCTTGCGCGAGATCGCTACCTTGATGATAGTAAGTAATGCATGCTTGCATGTAATTAAGTAGTGTGCCCAATATCTCGTGTCGTTTGCGTGCCTGTATCATCGTCAATGAATGAATGTAATCCAAAGCCGTGTGTCGGAAACATGATCGAGTAGCCGATAAAATATTAGAAGTTTCCTCGTATTCAGCAGGTCTGGATTTTGGAACTTGAGAATTTCTATTTAAAGCTATATCTAAATCAGCAGAAATTTTTTCAAAATAATGACGAGATTCTTTTACCTTTTTGATGTCACTGTTAAAATATTAGTAGTATTATACACACATGAATTTTTAAACAATGAAAAATTTAGTACAATTACATGCAAATATTATATTTTTACACAGTCTTACCTTTTAATGAATGAGTTTAAATCTTTAACTACAGTTCTAGATGCTTGATCTAATAAGATGGTATGAAATTTGTTCATTTCTTGTAAAGCATGAATTAATTTGTTTAAGAAGGCCATTATCTCAGAACCATCATTAAAGTACATAGATAACTCCCAAAGACTGTTGGTGAATTGGCTATGACAAAGAGCATTTATATCAGCATGAATATCAAACAATTTTAATGAGAGTTTAATTTATTATATGCATTTGGAAATACATCATATTACAAAATGTTCATTTTTATTAAATATTTTCTTTTTGAATTGATTTCCAACATAAATAACTAATACAAAATTTATGATCTAGGAGTAACAAGAATTTCAAGTATATGAGTCTTCATTGTGTAAACTGGCTACCATAAGTATGAGTCATTCCTAACAAAGCTGTAATTCATACATTTCCTGATTCCTCTCAGCTGCTTGAAATCTCTCTCCTCCTATTTATCACGGAGTATAATTTATTTGAAATAATTAGTGTTCATTCAATTAGATAATCAAGTGGAATAATGAAACATTTCTATATGTCTTTCAAATATTACTTGTAATTATGATGTAATTCTAATTATTAATTTTTATTATTCAACAAGTATACATGTAATTCATTATATGTACATATTCTTCTTTTTTATATCATACCTTTGCTGTCCTATAAACAGTTTACCAGTTTCAATCATTTGGCCACAATTTTTCAATACCTACAAGAAGCGTATTAATGCATTTTAAATATAAAGTTTCTTTGTACAATTACAGATTCGAGAAATGCTGAATAGGTGACAATCTAAATTTTAACTTTACAATCTACTATAGAATAATAATATAAATAGCATAACACCTGCAAACAAATTTGTTTATAGCAATACCTTGTCTAACTTTTGCTCCAGTAAATCGACATCTGCCTCCACTTCCTCGATGCGTATTCTATAAAAAAAAAGAAAAAGTGGATGGGCGTTTATAACTCTTTCACGACGTTTGATCCGTAATCAACGCAAATGCATTCAACAGCTTAGTCATAGGAGTGCGTGCATCATGTGCGATGGAATATCACAAAAAAAACTAACTGCTATTAAAGAGCGTAAGTTTAACCAATTCTCACCGAAACTTTGGCGTGTCTCGCAAACATTCCTCAAATTCGATTAAAGGCTTCATTTTGTACTATCCGTTCCGCGGAATTTTCAAGCGCAGTATCGTCCGACGAACCGCAATCTTGAAATTTTTCCGTTCACTATTTCCCATCAAACGGCACGATCATTTGGAAAGACTATTAACACGAACCGTTCGCATTCGCGGAGAACAACACGCATTCCCCTCACCCTCTCTTCTGTCAAATGGATAGAACACGGTGAAGTTGTCAACAATTTGAAATATTGTTCGCCAGTGTCGGCAACGTTCGCGCGACGATGGACGTGCGAGACAGTCGAGAACTTCACAAAGAACTTATTGATTCTCGCTAAATACGTTTCGCTGCGAGTCTTTTCTTCTTCGCGATGCTCTTGCACAATGCCATATCGTTGTTCCCTGTTGCGTTCGTCTTTTTTGGATAACTGCGAATAATCTTCTGGCGAACGTTTTGTTTTGTTCTCGTAGTGGAAGTTGTACCATTGTATCCGTATTCTTGGGTCCACTTGAAGGCATATTCAGTAGTAAAGGATATTTGGTATTTGTAAACACTAAATAAAGTAAGTTCCAATCACGTGATAGTTGATTTGCTTTTAGTTATTATTAGGTACTAGTCTCTTGTTTGATATTTACATTTAATCGAAGAGTATATGTCGTGTAATTGTTTCCTAACCTCTCTTATGTGTATTCTGTTTCTTTTTATCGTCGAATAAGTCTTCGAGTTGTTTTGTAAGCATTGTGGTCCCTCTTTCCTCTGCTTCTTCTTTAGATAACAAAAGGATATGGATATTGTTTTATCGATTGATGTTTCTTCGATAGGTTCAAAATGACTGGCGGAACTACCACTGAAAAGTCTGCTAATAATCCTTTAGAACAGTTTGTGCTGCTTGCAAAAACTGCTAAAGGAGCAGCTGCGATGGAGCTCATAAGACAGGCTGTAGAAACACCAGGTGTTAATGTCTTTGGGGAATTGTTAGATATGCCTAATATTAAAGAGCTAGAAAATGGACCATACGTGGAATATTGGAATACCTTGAATTTATTCGCATATGGGACATATAAAGAATATCTAGGAAGCAAAGACAAGGTTCTGGATCTAACTCCTACTCAAAAGAAAAAACTTCAACATTTAACAATCGTAACGCTTGCCACAAAGTCTAGATGTATACCGTATTCTATACTTCTGGAGGAACTAGATATAAAGAATGTTAGAGATTTAGAGGATTTAATAATTGAAGCCATTTATGCGGATATAATACACGGTAAATTAGATCAAAAGAATTCACAGTTAGAAGTAGATTATGCTGGCTTAGGACGAGATGTTAGGCCTGGCGATACCGGTGTGGTAGCTGAGACTTTAGCTGCCTGGGGTCAAGCTTGCGATACAGTGTTAGCATGTATCGAAGAACAAGTTACGAAAGCCAATGTTGAAAAACAGAAAGCCACTTACCACAAAGACAGAGTACAGAGAGATGTAAGTGTCCTAGGAATAGATAACGATAATGATGTACAGTAGAATAATTTTGTGCTACGGATGTTCGCATCTCTTTTAGATTGCTAACATAAAGAAGTCGCTTGCCGCGCAAGCAGGTGGCGGCGGCGTACAGGAGGCTGATATGGCAGGAGGTAGTTCAGGGGCAGGGGGAAGCGAATCTGGTAGAGAAGCGTTGTCGGTTCCACCGGATCCAAAGAAGAAGCAACAAAAGGTCAAAAGTAGTAAAGGCAGTGGTAAGTTCTGGAAGACATAAATTCAGTTATCTTTAATCCCGTGAAATGTATTCAATTGACAACAGGATTGTAATATTCTTTTTCGTAATTTGCATTCGTCAATTTTCAAAATTCGTAACAATCCTACGTTAATGTGAATTGCGACGAATGATGGCTAAAACGACTGAGAAGCGCTATTGCGAATGAGGAGAAATTTATTGCCATAGTTTGGCATATCATACAAATTCTAAAGGGATCGAACGCTTTCATTTTGAAACAGGAGAATCTTGTAAATACAGTTAAAGAAGTACAGAGTTATAAATCACTGTTATCTTTGTTTGATGATAATATTTGTTTACGAGAGAATTTTGTTACATTAAATTTATAAACTTTTCTATATGGTGTTAATTGTGTTGTGTATTAGAGTAAAATGAAAGAAAGCGGGAGAGGGTAAAAATATATGTATAAACGAATTTATTAATTACACTCTATTTAAGATAAAACAAAAGTTATCAAGTGCATGAAAATATTATGATAGTTTAGACATATAGATGGAAAAAAAAGGAAATCTAGAGAATGCATTTGTGCATTCATTTGGCCTTCTTTCGAGTGGTTATTATCATTGAATTTAATATTCTATAGTTACGACTTATAAAGTGAGATATATTTTTATTTAGAGAATTTATATTAGAGAGTTACCATTTGTTAGTATCGAACAATGTACGAACATTTGAGCATGAAGTAGTCGATTTTTTATATTACACTGCACTTTAAAAAGTAGCTGAGCTTATGAAAATAACAAAGTGATACATTCAAGTTTGTCAAGTAAATTTGCGTGAACGCGAGCTCGTATTAAACTTGAGTGTTAATTAATTATTCATCGACAGCGGTTCAAAGCAGATAGATGCGAAAGTGAATACCGTACTACGAAAAAACAGCAAACATCCAAATTGTGATTATCTTCACATCGAGAATTCAGAAACGATGAACGTTTTTTCTTATAGACAGAAACAAGGAGAAACAATACTTTTATAAATAAGCTTCCGAATTTTGTAACGTAGCATGTACGAGAGTTTTTAGTCAGACCAAAGATTTTATACGTTATGTTGTAAGGTGTAAATGACGTAAGCAGGGTTCGACAGTTTAACAGGCAGGGTCTGATAATTATTGCAATGAATTGCATATTTATCGTTGTGTCCGTGATCTATGTATCGCCGTCATTATCTTGAATGACGGTGGAATCCAGTGTAATGATTTTGCTTAAATGTGTCTTAAGCAGTATTGATCTTTTCTACCATTTGCGTTCACTTCGTATTTAGTTTCTCTTATCGAAACGATTTATAGTTATGAGACGGTATAGTGATAAAACAAAGCGTAACTAGTCGGATCGATCATTGTTACGGAAAGGAAGGCTGTATGCTTAGGAGAATGTAACGGTATACGAACGACACGTTGCTTAGTGAAACAAGAATGTCAGTCGAATTTCAAAGCGTTGTAATTGCTAATGGAATAAAAAGATAATTTATTTTAGCGAGGCTTTTCTATTTTTCTGCACCCTTTATAACGCCTCTCCTTTGCGTCTGTGAAGCGGGCCATCGCAAACACTCGGAGCTGAGTTAGGCTTATTAGTTTCACTTCTATCTTACACTTGTTAGCATAGGACACGGTAGTAACAGTTTAGCCATAACTAGCTCCCATTCGATTCGTCGACACTCATCGTTGTCATCGTCATCTATACAGCCAACAATTTTCTAAGCGACAGTTTCTATTTTTGCGTGGCAAATATTCGGGGATATACAGGGTCTCCTAAAAATGTTGTAACACCTTGAAAGAGGTGGTTCGGGAGGTGATTTGAAACAACTTTTTCCTTAGCGAAAATGTTGTACGAGGTTTCGTTCAGGAGATATTAACAGAAAACCCCGACCAATCAGAGCGCGAGTATACCGTTGGACCGCCCGCAGTAGGCGTGGCTACGCGCTAGGCGACCGCACTCATACGCTACCGCGAGCGGTCCATCGGCATACTCTCGCTCTGATTGGTCAGTGTTTTTCGTTAATATTTTCTTAACGAAGCCTCGGACAACATTTTCGTTAAGGAAAAAGTTGTTTCAAATCATCTCCCGAACCACTATTTTCAAGGTGTTACAACATTTTTGGGACACCCTGTATAGTTAATGTTTATAGTATGCGCAACCGGTGTCCATGTTTAAATGGTAGTACTTAATTTTGTCGTGTTTTGTCTGTTCTAACAATGTGTGGTTGAGCTACAAGTCGCAAATGATACGCCTAATCGGGATTTTCAGGATCCACTAATCCGGTAAAGCACCACGAACTGAACGATGAGCCAATGTGAGAAGCTTAGGTGAAGCTTCGCGGCATATCACCAACTCGATCGGATGATTCTGTCCCTCTGTCTCTCTATCTACGGTACTGACGAGCAGCGCATTGTCTCCTCTGTAATTTTTGTACTTTTTGAGAAATAAAACACATCCTGAAACCATCTCATACTTATTGTACAAGATGCACCTGGCGCGCGTGTCGAGCGAAAATATGAACGAATAAAACGATGCCCAGCAAGGTGTTCATCATTTTCTTCGTTTAGCAGAGTTGGGCAAAGTGTATTCAGATTGATTTGTAATTGTAACTACCGAGCAATTAATAAATCGCTTACGATTGAATTGTCAGATATAATTAAAACGATTGTAATCATTGACCACGAGTTATTAATCGTTGGCCACGAAGTTATTGCACTTTTTATTCTAATTCGTTTGATGAGTTAACGAAATGTTAGAAAATGCTTCGTATTTCTTAGAAAGTCGTCGATCAATGTATTTAAAAATTGATTTAAAGGTGTAGACATGTCACGTGATCTCTCCGATTTCGCCAGTCGGTATACAAGAGATTTTTCTGCATAGAAATGGTAATACCCATTGATACACGGTTGCCCAATAAAAACGAGATGGCGCTGCCTTCTATTTCTGTATTTTGTTCTGCATGTTAGTGCCGTAATAAGGGCGTGGCGAAGAAAGCGCAACTGGGTTTGGGGCGCAAAACAAAGGATAGCAGTTACGCAAAGGAAAACGGTTCTCTTGTCATAAACTATGCTAGCTGCTCCAACATTATTGGCAATTTATGGAAAATCCGCCTGACTATGCCGGCGGAGGCATACGTTAAAGTCCTCGACAATTTAATCGTATATCATTGCAAGAGACACAGTTCTCGAACGTAGAATACACAGCAAAAAAAATTCTTTATTGACATCGACGATACGTTAACTTTCGTCCTCGTCCATGTGTTTCGACCAGAGATCTCGGCCAGATGGAACACGTATATGTAGATAGACAGCACCTTAACACACTATAACAGTATAATAGATAAATAAGAATTTTGAAATAAAAGAGACATTGCGAAGAGGGAATAAAAAAACCTTTCAGATGAAGTGTATTTCAAATATTTCAAGTGCTGATTTTATGAACAGGTTATGACTTTATTGT